GTCAATTTTCGTATCTGATCAGGATATTACATGATGATAACACAAAATCAGAGAGATTTCGCCTGCGGTGATCATAGCAATGTAGTCTTGGCCCAGACATGCGTACTAACATTGAAACAGAATTTCAAGTACGAGTTTCTACAATACTAACAGTTCACATAATGGCAATAGGAAGATGTTAAAATCATGTCAGTGTATTATAGTGCTGTTGTTATGTTGTCGACATATCATCCTCAATGGATATAAAACCATACAAGCATACTGGTGTTGTGTTATCGTCATGTAATATCCTGATCAGATACGAAACTTGACACACTGGTATTGTGTTATCATCATGCAATATCCTGATCAGATACGAAACTTGAAATACTGGTATTGTGTTATCATCATGCAATATCCTGATCAGATACGAAACTTGAAATACTGGTACAATACTTAGTAAAAACCCTTATGATTCCAATAATCCTTTTGCAACAATGTTAGTTTGATTAAGGATTATTGGAATCATAAGGGTTTTTACTAAGTATTGTTGCAACAATGTTAGTTTGATTAAGGATTATTGGAATCATATGGGTTTTTACTAAGTATTGTTGCAACAATGTTGGTTTAATTAAGGATTATTGGAATCATAAGGGTTTTTACTAAGAATTGGTGCAAGAATACGATATTTTACCACGGAATATTTTGATATATAAGGTTATACAGCTAAAATATCACATATGATTAGAAACAAACGGTTTATTAAAGTGCAAAACTCTTAAATAAATTCCAGTAATATCTACTAAACAAATTAATTCGTTCCAATAAGCGAGTACTTTCCATTTCTTTACTTCTACTAAATATGGCAAGCTTTAACGTAATTTTTATGCCCCAATATTTATAATAGTTGCGACGTTAACGTTAAGAGAATTTACCAATCCTAAAGACAGCTCCGGCTAGACTAGCTATTGACAAAAAATAAATAAAACTGTTATCAAAATTATCAAACAGTATTCATTGTTACAGTTATACTTGTCATAAAACATTAATATTAGTCCTAATGCATTACTACATTCTTTACTTAATCTCTTAGTGATTTTCGAGAATTGTAACAGTGTATTATAATAATAGTATTCCAAACACATTACGTTGTCATGTCCATTGCAGACGACGAGGACTGAAGAGCTTTGGGTTGAGCGAAACGCGTCGTCTGAAATGGATAAGACAACATACTGTGGTTGGGATACTAGTGTTATACACTCTTCCAATTCTTAAAAATCCCCAAGGGACTAGATAAAGACAGTAATTATTGTTTACGAATGTAATAGTCCTAATAGTAATGTCTTATGACAAGTGTAATTGTATTAACTCTCCGCCACCTTTTAAAAGGCGTACACACCCTAACAATATTATTTGTTGTTGTCTAATAAATATTGAAAAAAAACAAAAACATTTTATCTCTTTAAAACCTTCAGAGTTTCTTGAGAAGTAACGAATATATGAAGGACAAAATGAAATAAATATAACCTATAAGATTAAAAACAAATCAATAAACCAGAAACATGTTTGTTTTGTTGGATTATGTTTTTATACGTGATGAAGAAGCTTTAACGTGTTTCATACTGAAACAGTGCAAAGTTCACACAGCTACGTTGACAAACTTTGATGAGTTAGCCGTTAAATTCCTTTATTACACGTTATACGTGACGTCTGCAGATCTGTCCTCCTGTTGACTCGTTGAGTTGAATTACGACTGAACATCACTAGCGCTCTTTATGTAGGAATGGCACGGACGCACGTATTAAAGCAATGCAAGAGTCACCTGGATTTTCTTCTCTACAGGTCATCAGAAGATAGATATGAAGAGCAAACTGGGATAGTCGCTCTATCTCCGGTGTATGTGCCGCTTTTCAGCTATCCAGAACGTACCAAAATTTATAAAACTTTAGAATACACTCTATAACCTGCCGCCCCCTCCCAGTGGCACAGCGGTATGTCTGCGGACTTACAACGCTAGAAACCGGGTTTCGATACCCGTGATGGGCAGAGATAGTCCATGCTGTTGCTCAACTTCAAAACAAATCAAATCTATAACATAGTAACCCACGTACGCCATCTTATGAATAAACAAACAAGTGTAAGGAGGAAAAAAGTATCGTTAAATAAATAACCATGTAGGGTTGGTTACAGAACTTGAAAAAAAGAACCATACAGGACAGGAATGGAAGTGGACATATCACTTGATCCAGTTAATAATCACATAACAGACGAAGCTGTCTCGACTATAAAATGGAGAATAAAATCCCCGCATTACTGTCTTCCCCACTTTGTCTATCGAAACATTGGTGTTTGAATATAATCTCAACTTTCGTCATTATACCTTTCCTTTAGAATACTACTTTTAAAACTGTTTTTATAAGAGAGTAATATTCAGTAGTTAGCCCTACATACCTTTTTTATTTAGCTTTTTTTTTTATTATACTTGTATCGATGACAGCGAAGTTAGCTCAAGTGATGCACCCCCGTTGTTATTTAATGTAGTTATCTTGTTAACTCACTTTAATAAGATGATATAGTTCATTCATACCATTGTACGACAGCATAAAGATTGAAAAGGTGAGTCGGGTGTAACTTAATGTGTTTCTCTGATCATCAGTACTATGATTTTCAAATTGTATCACATATTACACTCACCTTCCTAAATTATACCAGCCCCTTACAAGTAGTTTCTTTTTCATTACAAACAAACATGACACAAAAGACATTTTACAGGGGCATATATTTTTTTTTTCATTTGACTTTTTTTATTATTATTTTAGCAATATTTTTGCTTTATCACCTCCCCCCCAGTAACTCACCCGTGAGTCCGCGAACTTATAACACTAGAAATCGGATTTCAAAATCGGGCACAGTATAGATAGTCCTACATCTCTACTTCATCAGTTACTCTATCAGTGTAGTCCTACATCTCTACTGATGAAGTGTAGTATGTATTTAGGGTTAAAGAACGTAATTTTGTGGTTGTAGTATGCATTTATGGTTAAAGAACGTAATTATGTGGTTGTAGTATGCATTTATGGTTAAAGAACGTAATTCCGTGGTTGTAGTATGTATTTATGGTTAAAGAACGTAATTCCGTGGTTGTAGTATGTATTTAGGGTTAAAAGAACGTAATTCCGTGGTTGTAATATGAAGACGCACTGTATCTTTCCTACGTTCTTATTTTAGTGAAGGAATTTTCAAAAAAAATTCATTTAGTCTAATTCTGCGCACTTTTTGCATAAATATGTGTTAAATAAAACCGTCTAGTTCTTTTAGTTCTAGTTACCTCTGTTCCATTATTGTTCGCTAAACGTTTCTATATAATTTACACACGGGTATATTGCTGCAAGTTCGCAAAAATTAACTCCTGGACTACAATATTAAAGAGAAAATGATGAAATATAGATGTAGAACTACACTGATAGAGTAACTGATGAAGTAGAGATGTAGGACTACACTGATAGAGTAACTACAGGATTACGTTCTTTAACCCTAAATACATACTACAACTACAGGATTACGTTCTTTAACCCTAAATACACACTACACTACCACAACTTGTGTCCTTCAACCCTAAACCCATAATACGTCACAACAACCTTGAGACCTTCAAACTTAAATACATGATATCTCACCACAACATAAATACATAACCACATCTTTGTGATATCCAAAATTAATTTACGATTAATTTACAATTGCAAATCACATAAGCCTAATGGTCAACGTATCGGGCTGTCGATCGAAAAACTCAAGGTTCGAGACTTAGTGCCATTGCGCATGCTCCACAACTGTTAAAATCAATGCATTTATTTGTTTTAAACTTCTTGTGGATGTGAGATCTGCTACGTCTGCTCAGTAGTTGAACATCAGAGATGGCTATATCTGAATTCTAAGGGTCTCATCTCGGATCTGATTGTGTAGTCACGTGTTCATAAGGCACCTTTCATGTTGAGAATTCCAGTTTGTGAAACATATATGTGGGAGAGTAACGAGAGTATATAATAAATATCTTTATGCACGAGATTAATTTTAAATCATTTAGCAGTTATCTAAAAGTTACATCTGAATGAAAGAACAATGGAGTGATATATATATAAACAGACGGACATATCTGTAATATAATGATCCTGTTCGATACCCGTTTGCACAACATTAAGATACGCAGTGTTGATACTGAATTCATTTTCTTGTTCGCTTCTGTATATCTACTCGTAGAGTTTTGATTAATATTTTTAGTAGAGTAATATTTTAATCAGATAATCGAAGAATAGTTAGTCTTTTTTCTAGAAATTTCTGTTTTTTCGCTTCTTTTTTTAATCTACGGTGTTACACGAGATCTAGACCTAAATATATATATCAAATACCTGAGGTTTATTTCGCTTTGACGTCTTCGTGGTTTCCTGAAATAGCAGCCGAAGTCTTTATTATCTCGAGAACTCACACCAAACTGCATGACTGGAAGTTAGGACTAGTTCAGGAAAAGATCGTTTCGATAAAAAAAAAAAATCACTAGAATAAATGCAAATTCTGGTTAATTTTTGGAAGCACTTTAAAATCCTGAAATTAAGCTTTTAACTTTGTTTTTATCTTTAATAATTCTGTTTTAATAAGTTAGTGATGTTTATAAAACTACTCTCGAAAGTGAACTTTCATAAAAACTAATACCTTGATCAAAAACTTAAATATTCTCTTAATCTCTTAATATTACACATGGTTTGCACTTGAAGAAGCCTCAGACTCCATCTTTAGGGTTAAGTGATAACTCCCTGATCCGACGGGGGGTGATGCTGTTTGGTTACTTGAGAGCCTAGTTTTATCAGGAAATGTTTTAAGAAACATTTTTTTTTTCTTTTCAGGTGAGTGTCAGATGTTTTAGAAAGAAAAGTATCCGAGTACAACCACCAGCTGTTGGTTGCAATCAGTGCTAATCAACCAGAAGTGATTTGTGTTTAATCGGGTTTCAACAGGTTCACCAGATGCTTCCTAGGAAGGGACTTCTCGCCCCACAAAATACTTTTCTCGACACTATAGCAACCCGGTTTGATGGGACACGTAAGTACGGCCTTTTTAGAACACGCGATGAAAAAGTTCTGGATATGGTTGTTAGTAAGTACAGCCCGGACGAGTAAATAACATTAAAAGCCTTTTTTAGTGACACGCCAGACAAAATTTAATTTAAAACGCAAAAGGTTAAAATAATTTCATAAAAACCAATGGTTTAAAACCTGCCATACGTTTCGACACTATTTAGTGCCTTCTTCGGCGTTCACCGAGTGTTGTGAATCATTGTGTGTGTGTGATTAAATATATTTATGATAATAACACTTGATCTTCTGGTTGTATGTTTGTACTGGTGTCTAAATTCATGTAACTTGTGTCTTCTAGGCTACGCCAAAAGTCGTCAAAAATCACGTGATCTTCTGGTTGTATGTTTGTACTGGTGTCTAAATTCGTGTAACTTGTGTCTTCTAGGCTACGCCAAAAGTCGTCAAAAATCACGTGATCTTCTGGTTGTATGTTTGTACTGATGTCTAAATTCGTGTAACTTGTGTCTTCTAGGCTACGCCAAAAGTCGTCAAAAATTTGTTGGGATTTGATACTGAGTTTGGATATAACTACAAGTACTGCTTCTAGAGTAAGTTACCTGTACTCTAGAAGCAGTACTTGTAGATTAGGTTATCTGTAACTATAAGTACTGCTTCTAGAGTAGGTTATCTGTAACTACAAGTACTGCTTCTAGAGTAAGTTACCTGTAACTACAAGTACTGCTTCTAGAGTAAGTTACCTGCACACACAAAGTGTACGTTTTTATTCAAAACTCTTGTAGGATGTTATAATATGCTAGGCTCTTAATAAGTAAAACTAAAGAGAGCTAATATTCGGAAATGAAATATTTCAAATAATGAATTGTGAAAGACCATCCTCACGGTGTGTTAGGCTCAGATAATTTCACTGTTTAAGTCGTAATGTGTTATACATTGGGACACATGTTGAGTTCCATCTATTATAGACATAAGTTTTAATTTCTATTGCTGTTATCTTGAACCATTCATGCAATACAGCGTCGTAACTTGTATAAAAACATTATACGCCACCATTTTTACTATGTTACAAATAGACTGGACATCATTTTTTATCTGTGTTAATTACAAGTTCTAATTCTATTTTTAACATTTGGTATTTTTCTATATATATAATGTTTATTATACACAGTGAAAAGTTTAATTTTTACCATAAAGATCATTTTACAATGGTAATTTAGTTAATGGGTTGAGGATTCAAATCTACTAACCTGTACAAACCAATGATAACTTTTACTATGTGTAGTAGTTCGTACTGGACATCGGCCGGCCTTAAGAAGTGAAACCCTTACTTCAGAGTGGACATTTTGTGTCGGTTAACATAGTTAGTATATTTACTTTTTTATCATTCTGCATTGTTGGTTTAATATAAATATTTAGGAGTAGCCTAAGCTTCCAGAGCTGGCCAAACATTGTCAGGTATTATTGGGTTTACGGCCGAAAATGTCGTTATCATCGAGGGTATAGGTTTTCATTTCTGATTTATATCTAGGTATGTTGCTTTGATCCATAATACTGACACCTCTAAAAATAGTAATGCTGAAGTTTAAAACGTTTTGTTTCTATTTATTTGAGAGGCTTTACAGTGGTAATAGTGAATCTGGAACGACCAAACATTATCCCACAATTTCGCGGTATTGGAAAGAGAAAGATTTCGGTAAAACGTTGTATATTGATCTGCTATTATAGTATCATGAAGAGAAACGCACGCAAGGGTTGCCTTCACGTTCACGCACGAACTGCACGCTATCTTGTGCACGGATTTACCCGGACCGATATGTGCGGTATCTTATTGTGAAAGGAAACACCAATGATTGATTGTATTTCCAGAAGCTTCTTCTGCCGTAATGGAATCATAAGTTCTCATTGGCTTTCCTACTTCCCGTCTTGTTCTTAGACGTAAACTGTCGGAGAGTGTTGCACGCGTGCATGTAAAAAAAATTGTCAGATGAGACGAAAATAGTTGACCTACAGCTACTCCTCTGTTCAGATCACCCTTCACAACCTGCACGTAGAACGGTTCGAGCACGATCTCAACAGTCAATAAAATATCTACTTAAGCACACTGATTTGTAATTTTTAAATATATTTAGGTATCAAGCTTACTGTTTTATTGATTATCACAGGCTCTCGATGTTGTGTTCGATGTGTTTGAAGAATTAATCGTGTTTACAATAAAATACTTATTATAAACCTTCATCTATCGGTTCCTCATCTGTCTGATCAATAAAATACTTATTATAAACCGTTATCTATCGGTTCCTCATCTGTCTGATCAATAAAATACTTATTATAAACCGTTATCTATCGGTTCCTCATCTGTCTGATGGAACTGATAGATGAAGGTTTATAATAAGTATTTTATTGAAATCTGTCTGATCAACACAATCATGGCGGTTTATTATTGGATTTGAACAGCGTGTGTTTTATAAAAGTGTAACAAATATTATTGAAAATCATGAACTGTATCGTTAATATTTATAGCCTTACAGAGAGCAGGTGCAGGACAATGTCATGGAATTAATAGTTTCGTTTTGAGTTTACTTACTGATTAATTGTATTAAATTACGAGCTACAGCTTTTACAGTAAGTAAAAACGTGTTTTAGAACAGGTACGACGTTTCGATCACTGGCGCGATCATACACAAGTTTTAACGATAAGAACGTTTTAGTCTTTCAATCAGAATTCAACAATCTAACAATGTATTTAAATTCTAGGATAAAACTTGTAACTTGTATACTCGAGATTGATCGCACCAGTGATTGAAACCTGTTCTAAAAACATATCTTACTTACAGTAAAAGCTGTAACTTGTAATATATTATAATGTCATAGAGTATACAAAACGACTTGCTACTCAATATAAGACTCTAAATAACTATTGCACGCGATCTGTCACTTTTCTTAATGAGTTTTGTTTGTTTTTCGGATATTCACGCAAAGCTATTCAAGCCATCTGCGCCAACCTTTCTTAGTTTTGAAACTAGAGGTATGTCAGCTAGTTAAGAACACCAACCGCAAACTCCTGGGCTTCTTTTGTCTCAATGAATAGTGATTTTGTAATATCACCCTCATAACGTACCCATGAAATCAAAGTTTGAAATATGAAGCTAGGATTAATTATTTCCTGAGCAAATAGACTATTAGATCCTGAAACAAACAGCAAGGAGTGGGGTGGCGAGGGGGGACAAGAACTGCTTTTGTTTTGCATGGTTTGAAAACAAACAGCAAGGAGTGGGGTGGCGAGGGGGGACAAGAACTGCTTTTGTTTTGTATGGTTTGAAAACAAACAGCAAGGAGTGGGGTGGCGAGGGGGGACAAGAACTGCTTTTGTTTTGTATGGTTTGAAAACATAACAGTGGGGGGCGTTAATTTCATTCTAACTTATTTATTTGTTATATATATATAACAGACAGCTGTAAAAACACCCTTGTTGAAAGGGGAACTACAATACAACTTAGTTACTCTGTTCCAGTGAGTGTAATATTACTCGCTTGATTTGAAGAGAGATGTGTACAACAGCATGACTAGATAGATCTATTATTGAGACATCACAGATAATCTTCGAACGCCCAGAATCGCCCAAAGTAAGGAGTTCAACTTGAAAACACACATAATCTGTAATGGATGACACAGTGTTTGTTTGATAAACAGACCATCTTTAACATCAAAGATTTACAGTGTAACAACCTTTAAAATCTCTGTTGTAGTTAACTGGACACAATGTAACAATCTTTAAAATCTCTGTTGTAGTTAACTGGACACAATGTAACAACCTTGAAAATCTCTGTTGTAGTTAACTGGACACAATGTAACAACCTTGAAAATCTCTGTTGTAGTTAACTGGACACAATGTAACAACCTTGAACATCTCTGTTGTAGTTAACTGGACACAATGTAGCAATCTTTAAAATCTCTGTTGTAGTTAACTGGACACAATGTAACAATCTTTAAAATCTCTGTTGTAGTTAACTGGACACAATGTAACAACCTTTAAAATCTCTGTTGTAGTTAACTGGACACAATGTAACAACCTTTAAAATCTCTGTTGTAGTTAACTGGACACAATGTAACAACCTTGAAAATCTCTGTTGTAGTTAACTGGACACAATGTCACAATCTTTAAAATCTCTGTTGTAGTTAACTGGACACAATGTAACAACCTTGAAAATCTCTGTTGTAGTTAACTGGACACAATGTAAGAATCTTTAAAATCTCTGTTGTAGTTAACTGAACACAATGTAACAATCTTGAAAATCTCTGTTGTAGTTAACTGGACACAATGTAACAATTTTTAAAATCTCTGTTGTAGTTAACTGGACACAATGTAAAAACCTTTAAAATCTCTGTTATAGTTAACTGAACACAATGTAACAATATTTAAAATCTCTGTTGTAGTTAACTGGACACAATGTAACAACCTTTAAAATCTCTGTTGTAGTTAACTGAACACAATGTAACAATATTTAAAATCTCTGTTGTAGTTAACTGGACACAATGTAACAACCTTGAAAATCTCTGTTGTAGTTAACTGAACACAATGTAACAACCTTGAAAATCTCTGTTGTAGTTAACTGAACACAATGTAACAATGTTTCAAATCTCTGTTGTAGTTAACTGGACACAATGTAACAATGTTTCAAATCTCTGTTGTAGTTAACTGGACACAATGTA